AGTAAAGCTAGAGCCAGGTCTTTTGGCTGTCGCTCTTGCATGCTCTGCTGCAGCAGTTTCTTCCATAATGACTGTGTAAAATCTTCCCTGATATTCTCATAGCCATTGACGTACTTTGCAAATTCATGGTAACACTTTCAAAGTATGTACAGAGCTGATTCTTAACTTACACTATGTTCCACTAAGAATCAGATGAGAGTTATAGGCCCATGTTATAAATCATTTCATGCAATATCAGATAATGCATTGATTACTCGGTATCTACTGTGCCTGTAGGACTACAAGCATCTCATACTAAGAATTAATCGGGCCTGGCACCATGGCCTAGCAGCTAAAGTCCTCACCTTGAATGTGCTGGGATCCCATATGGGCGCCAGTTCTAATCCCAGCAGCTCCACTTCCCATCCAACTCCCTGCTTGTGGCCTGGGAAAGCAGTCGAGGACTGCCAAAAGCCTCAGGTTCCTGCACCTGCGTGGGAGACCTGGAGGAAGTTCCTGGCTCCTGGTTCGAATCGGCGTAGCACCGGCCATCATTGGCCACTTGGGGAGTGAATCATTGGACAGAAGATATTTCTCTCTGTCACTCCTCCTCTCTGTATATCTGACTTTGCAATTAAAATTAAAAAAAGTTTTTTACAAAAAGAAGCAATCAGCATATATTTGATCAAGTCTTGCAAAACCAAGAGCCCAAGGAAGATGAACTTTAAAACTCTTATCCTTATCTTAGTAATAATACTCTCAATGTCTATCCAATTATCTTTTCAATCCATTGTTTAGAGTAGTTAAAAGGATTGAGAAATTAGTATATATCTGCAAACATTTAAGAAAATGCCAGGGGATTCTGTCATCAAAGCATTCTAGCACTCCCACAGGCATGCCTGGGATTAGTGGCAAACTGAGATGTTTCTAGGAAAGTAGCAATTTGGAAGCATTTTTCCAAATGTAAAAGCCTACCACAGTAAATGGGCTGGCTCTATGAAAAGCCCAAAAGATATAACATAGTGAATATAGGAAGTGCTTTGTTTCAGGGAATAATAGCAAATTCTTAGTTCTAAATTCTTAGCTCCTTTGGTCATAGCCTTGAAAAAGTCTAAATGAATGGCTGAGATTTATCGGGTCACATGATTTTCTTCCATGGGAGTTCCAAGAATGTAGACACCACATCCAACTATTACATTGCATTCTTGATAACTAACACGGCATCTGTCCACAGAGCATATTCAACTCACATTTAGTCAGCACCTCTGGAAAGCTGCTTACCCTCCTCACACTCCTGGCCCCTGTTAACCAATGACTTATGGCTACTTGGAACATTCGTTGGAGTTATTCACACATACATGTGACCTCCATTCTGGATGCTTGGCTGCCCTTACAAAAAAGTTCTCCACTCTGTCCTTTTAGCTGCTGCTGCAGTCTAGGTCTGGTGATAAACAAATCCCCAAACCATTATAGCAGCTAACTGCTTTAAACCTCTCAGAATGGACACCACATTAAGGAGATGTTTCAAATTTCAATTGAAAAGACAAGATTAATGACCAGAAGAACATTTTAGCCTCGAAATAGCCTGTGAAGGGTTCATCTGAACCAGGATGGCCTTCTTTTGGTTATCTTAGAAATCTTTGGGTCAGGCCCAGTGCGGTGGCCTAGCAGCTAAAGTCCTCACCTTGAAAGCACTGGGATCCCATATGGGTGCTGGTTCTAATCCTGGCAGCCCTACTTCCCATCCAGCTCTCTGCTTGTGGCCTGGAAAATCAGTCAAGGATGGGCAAAGCTTTGGGATCCTGCACCTGCACGGGAGACCTGGAAGAGCTGCTGGCTCCTGCCTTGAGATTGACGCAGCTGCTGCCATTGTGGTCACTTGGGGAGTGAATCATCAGATGGAAGATCTTCCTCTCTGTGTCTTCTCCTCTCTATATATCTGACTTTGCAATAAAAATAAATAAATCTTTAAAAATAAAGAAATCTTTAGCTCATCAACCGTTTCCTTAGCACTGAACTTTCCTTTTTCTTAAAGATTGATTGATTGAGTTGAAGGACAAACAAGTGAAAGAGAGAGAAAGTGAAGAAAGGGAGAGGGACAGAAAGAAGGAATGAGAGAAAGGAGGATAAGGGAGAGAAAAGGGGAGAGGAGAGAGGATGAAGTGACAGAGAGAAGAGTTATTATACAAGGCTCTTTCATTTTCCCTTTTTACAATATTTCTATTACATGACTAATGCACACTTTATTTATCATGTTACTGTTGCTGCATAGAGCTACTTTCACCTTTTCGTTATTATAATTGTGTCCTGCTGCACATGGGGATTTCTCTTTGAATATAATTTTCAAACGCTTTTTTGAATACAACTCATAATGAGAAAGACATTTTACAATACAACCTAAAAAGATAAGCAGAACAACTCAAAGCCTCTATCCATCTATCTATTTATCTACTAATTGAAAGCTGTTTGAGTTGTGTTTTTTCTGGTGGCTAGTCAAAGAGTCTAAGTCCCAAATCCTCTCTGAATCTTCCAGCTCTTCCTTCATCTCAACTTTGGAAGAGCGGCATGTTGTTGCACCTTTGCAATAGTCAAGGCTCAGCAACTCCAAATATAGATGGACCAACCAAGAAAGCCCCAACTTTTTCAGCAAATAGGAATGTGAATGTACTTAATCTCCACAAACAAAGCTAGGACTCACTTGTACTCACTGCTGATAGAATGGAGAAGCAGTACAACGGCTGGATAACCAATCTGCAGAAAAACACAGGGAGTGTACCTTCTGTAGGGAAGAATGCAGAGTTTCCTCTATAATGCCAAGTTGTGAATGCTGCCGTTATTAACTGCCAGCTGGATGACCAGCCCAAAGAGGAGTGACTAATGTCGGCTATATTCGGCAGTGTAGCTTGGCTGGTTCATACTTTGTCCATTCCTCAAGAGGTAAACATCACTTGACATTTAAACGGAACCACTGCAAATTCTACTGGTGATGACTAAAGCCTAGAAAGAAGGAATTGGGTGGGAGGAAGGGTGTCCCAGGCTCACATCCTGGACTAGCACAGTGATCTCACAGGGTGTCATAATACCAGCCTGGGTGAAAGCTGGCATTATTGGATGACAGCATGTTCTTGATGTCAGTAAGGTTCTCATTGGTGAAAGTCAAGCCGACATTCCCCATGGAATTAAGCAACCTTTTCTCCAGGGCCGAGCTGCTTTCCTGATGCTCTCTTACGACCTTGTGCTTCATGATGCTCTTGTCCATCAGCAAAAGAGCCTTCCCTTGTGGGTTGGAGTGACACAAGGATCTCTTGAATCTGCCCAGAACCCACATTGTCTGCTCCACAATCAAGTCTTATGGGTAATCATCTGAAAGCTGGATGATCTTAAGGAAATAGACTTCCATGTTCCCATCTTCTGTGAGCATCAGGGCAGAGGGTCAGGGATTACCACGGAGGGTTTAAAAATGGTGTCACTCCCAGGAGGATGTATGGCAAGAGCACCATACATAAACACCAACAACAAATAAACTACTGGGAAGACATTCTGTATACTCCATTTTTTTTTTCTCTTCTGCCTAATTCTATCATCCTACTCCAGTTCACCTTTTAAAAAATGTGCTTCACTCACCAGTATGACTTGATCCTAAAGAAAACAATTAAAAACCTAGACATGACATTGGCGGATTGCAAAGCACATGCATGTTTTAACTTGCTTAGGTAATAAACTGATCCAACAATACCCTCCAGTACTCCAGCAACAGCAAATTCAACTTACGCTATGCCACAGCTTTGTTAAATTAATAAGACGCACTTTTTACTTTTTCCCCCAATCTGTTCATATGACATGATGTTTGCATTTCCACGGTTAATAATGAGTGAGAACATATCTTCCTATGTTACAAACAATTTGTGTTTCCTTAGCATGAAACACCTATTTATATAGTTTGACTACTTTCCTCCTAGAATATCTATATCATATGAATGCATAAAAGACCTCAATATTTTCTGAAGAATAATCTTCTGTAAGACTCGAACTGAAAATAGGATTTAGGTTACCTTTAATTATGTTCAGAAGTGTCAATTTTTTCATAAAGGATTTCATATTCCTTTGAACTTGATACATTGTGTTGCCATCGTAAAAAAAAAAAACTGATGGTGATGAATAGAAATTGCCTGAGTTTTTTATGCTGAGACTCTGTTCAACTGCTTAAGTGAACTTGTTTATCTGCAGATTATTTTAGAAGTATTTAGCATTGATAACGCTTTTTAAAAAGATTTATTATTTCTTTTTATTGGAAAAGCAAATCTACAGAGAGAAGAGACAGAAAGATCTCCTGTCTGCTTATTTGCTCCCCAAGTGGCCCCAACAGTCAGATCCTAGGTGATTCGAAGCCAGGAGTCCAGAAGTCTTCCAGGTCTCCCACAAGGTACAGGGTCCTAAGGATTTGGGCCATCCTCAACTGCTTTCCCAGGGCCAGCAGGGAGCTGGATGGGAAGTGGAGCCGCTGGTATTAAAACCAGCGCCCATATGGGATCCCAGCGCATTCAAGGCGAGGACTTTGGCCACTAGGCTACCACTCTGGACCCTTTCTTATTTTTTTAATTAACAGAATTATTAAACTACAATTAATATATAAACATAATAAACTATGTGCATAAGATATGGACTTGGATGGATTCGGACATGTGCATATACTTGCACATTTTCACCACAACCAACCTAACAGATACATAACATTACCACCTCCCTTCCCCAGATGCCTCCTGGGTCATATGAATCTTCCCTTCACAATGACTGTCCATCCCTACACCCCTGTTCTCAAGCATCCACCTGTCAGTACAGATAACCTTGCATCTTCTAGAAACTTACAAAAATAAAATCATACAGTACATATCACCTTGACCCTGTCTCCTTTAACTCAAGATAATTATTTTCAGGTTCATTCGTGTGTGTCTGTAATGCATTCAATTTTACTGTTGGATACTGTTCCATTGTATGATATAAAGCAATTTGTTTACCTAGTCATCTGCTGATGGATGTCTGGATTGCTTCCAGGTGTTGGTTATTACATAAAAATCCTTGAACCTTCTTCCAGGAGAAGCAGTTGCATCACTTGGAAATAGTTTGATTCCGTTGGTCTTGCTTTTAAGTTTTGTTCTGTGGAACCAGAGAAGTATTTATTCTCGGAGTAATTTTGATTCCTTATTGAGGTAAAACCCTTCTGTATACTCTGCCTAATACCTATGATAATGTTTTTTTTTTTCACCCTTGCTGGTGGAAGCAGGAAAATTAACAGCCCTGTATGAGCCTCAGAGATTGTATCCCATCATCCATTTAAGAGGTTCTTTCCTTAGCCTTGGGTGGTTTTCTCATACACATGCGCCGAGCAATGCTTAGCTAAAACAACATGGACTATTCTTTGCAGATCTTTGGAGTCCTCTTTCTGGGGCTGGCATTGTGGCATAACAGGTAAAGCTTCAACCTGTGGTGCCAGCATTCCATATGGACACTGATTCAAGTCCTGGTTGCTCTATTTCCTATCAAGCTCCCTGCTAATGTCCTGGGAAAGCAACAGGACATGAATCCCTCTCACCCATGTGGGAGACTTGGATGGAGTTCCTGACTCCTGGACCCAGTCTGTCCCAGCCCTGGATGCTGTAGCCATCTGGGGAGTGAACACAGGATGAAAGATCGATCTCTCTTTCTCTCTTCCACCATTCCTCTTCCTCCCTCCCTGTATATCTTTCTCCCTCTCTGTCTGTATGTAACTCTATTTTTCAAATAAATACATCTTTTTTCATTATCTCAATTTCAGTTCATTTATATCAGTAAGCAATACCATTTTTATTGATATAAAAACTTCATGTACTTCATAGGTGCCATTCTCAGAACATACCTGTATTTCTCTCCCTCTCTCAATAACCCTTCCTTTTTTGCTTTGTACAAACACTTTTATACAGACATATTCTATGATCACAGGCTTAATTTCCCACCAGCCATAATTTCCTTCTGTTTAGCCATCCCCTCTCCAGCACTCTACCCTGACAAAACTAGACTTGTGCTGCTTTTAGCTCCATTTTGTCAACTGGAGCCTACTCTTGCTCTCAACCTAGGTTCCTGTTCCCTACACACAGACTGGAAATTCTCTCATGGAAGCAAACTTGTTAACCTTGTTTCCTGTCACTCAGAAATCAGTATCTGTTGTTGCCTGTGCCAAAAGTCAGAGAAACTTTGATTTGGTGGTATATTTTCTCCCCTATTTCTTAAGGTTGTTTTAGGAAAAATACACCTGGTCCCTGTTTCTTCCCACTCTTGGCTGGAAGTCAAAGTTCTGAGAATTATCTACATACTTTGTGACTTAACTATGAGTTGCAATTTCCCTTGGAATTATGTGATATCCCTTTAAATAACAAAATCATTCTGTCAATTATTCAGAAACACTATTAGTGAAGGGCCTCCTTAAAATTTCTTCAATTGAGTTGTGCAAACAAATGGGTCATCAGAAATTTCCTGGAAGAAGGCGCCCTATGCCCACCCTCATTCAGCATCTCTGTTGAGGGAGGAAGGCATGCTTTCCGCCCTCTCCCACACAGCAGAGTTTACTTCATATTCACCCTTGTGCTGAGTCCTTAGCCTTTGAAATTCCATCTTGGTGCACATTTTCCCCAATGAGGATGCTGTGTAGATTGGGTTTACATGTTCCTCTTTTTTCCCACACTCCATGCAGCACCTCAGCATTTCCAGCACTCAGAAACTCTCAGAACAAAAGCTATCCTCGGTACTAGCTTACGTCCCAAGGTCCCCTCTTTCATTATCAAGTATCTGTAGATTCCTTAATGTCATAGTAGTTGTGCAGCAATTTCCTTTGATATTTTCACCCTGAATTCCAGCTATTTTAATTTCCAGATGCCCATCGTGTCATGCCGAAGGGATCAAGAGCCTCACTTGTGTCTGCAGACTCTTGCTACACCCTGGCTCATTCTGCACAGCCAGTAACATATTGAAGTTTCTATCACTCTTTCAAAAACACGTGCTTAATCCCACCTCATCCCTTTTAGTTACAGCTTTCTCTCATGTTATTTCCCAGCCAAGTTTTTCAAAAGAATTGCCTACAGCCCTTGCTTCTACTTTTTAATCTTTAATGCATGCTTTAACCAATTCTAACCCGTCTCTACCACCACATCGCCAATAAAACCGATCTTTAGAAATCCAAAAATGAATATTTCCACTTGCTAAGTTGAATGGACTTTTCTTACTTCTTACCTGACTTGACTAGTTAGCAATATCTGGCATTTTGGATCATTCTATCCATTGTGAAATTCTCTCTTTAGTTGCTTCCATGTTACTCTTTCCAAGTCCACATCTGCCTCATGAGTCATTCTGTTTGGATTCTCTCCCTCTGCTCACTTCTTCCAATGCTCTACAGAGGTTTTCCCTGTTTTTTTTTTCTTTGTAGTGTAATCCTATACCACAACCCATGAACTACATACTAGGAGCTGCCAATGCCTAGAGCATTTTCCTCCCTCCTTAGGAAAACTGCCCAGTCTTTATCTGGCACAATGCCACCTGTAATTCCTTTCATTTAAATGAGGATTTGGGGGATTTGATATTTAGTGAGATATTATCTCATACCACAGTACCTCATTCCAATCTGACCTCTGCTTCCAATTCCAGCATCTTGCTAATATGCACCTTGGGAAAAAGCAAATGATGGTTGAGGAACATGCAGTATACCACTCCCTATGTGAGGCCCACACTGAATCCCTTGCTCCTGGATTCATCCTGGCCCTGACCTGGCTGTTGCAGGCATTTGGGAGAGTGAATCAGCAGATGGAAGATCTGTGTCTCCATCTTTCAAATAAAATGAGAGAAAAAAGGCCATATGAGCAACACTTGGTTAATGACATATTACAGAGCTTTAAAAGCTCAGGGAAACTCATTATATAGCAAAATTCTTGTACCAAGATTGATTTATTTCAGTTTCATTTTCCCACAGACTTTATGAAGAGCCCACATGAAACTTTGTATGATATTGCCACGAAGCCTGCCTGAAGAAACTGATTCAGCAGAAAGGGGCCCTTCTCTATGCCTCTGTCTTCTCTCCATCTTCTGCCTGCAGCATGGACAACAATGATGGCTGGAGCTTCAGCCAGAAGCCTCTTTGGGGTTGGAAACCATACACCAGAGAGGAGGAGCGCAGATTCCTATTGACTCCATGGAATCACATCACCCTGAACCACCAACCTATGGCAGCTTTAATGAGTGAGTGGTGAATGTCCATGTTTAAGATTCTATTATTCTGGAACCAACAGTGAGTAAGCAGCTACCTGCAGTGCTGGCATCCTATATGAGTGCCATTTCAAGTCCTGGCTCCTCTACTCCCATACCAGCTCCCAGCGCATGGCTTAGGAGAGCAGCAGGGGTTAGACCAAGTGTTTGGGCCCTACACCCATATGGGATACTTGGAAGAAGCTCCTGGCTCCTGACTTCAGTCTGGCTCATCTTTGGCCATTGCAGCCATCTGAGGAGTGAACTAGCAAATGAAACGTTCCCTCCACTTCCCTCTCCTCCAGCCCCGCCTATGCCTTTCTCTCTGTGTGTCTCCCTATAACTCTTTGAAATAAGTAAAATTTTTTTTAAAGATTCTGTTCTTCTGCAGAGGACTGGGCATGTTGAAAATAAAAAAGTCTAGCCTGACTCCTAACTCCAAATCTGAAACCTGAATCAGCCTGGATCCTTTTCTCTTTGTTCACCCCTTTGCTACCCCAGGTCAATAAATCTGCTTATTTTGACACCTAACCAGCTCTCAAATATTTTGTCACCTCTCATTTTATTTTGTCCAAGTCTAAGATTAGGGCTTTCACATTGTTTCCTTAGACTAACATAGTAGCCACTGAAGTGAGCTTTTTAAATAAGTGTCATGTCTGTTAAAAAAAAAAAAACCTGCATGTTAATTGTCCAGAATACACTGTAAGTCCATTAACATTTATTTTTTCTGGCCCTTTGTACCCAGCTACCTGTCTTCTCTTCTGTCTCTGCTATTTCATATGCCACTACAGCTATGTATCTTTAAGATCTTTGCAATCATCTAACACACAAAGTAGTTTCATGCCTTGATGATTTGCACATGACACTTATTGTTTTGTGGAATTTTTTTTTCTCGCTTTGCTCATCTGGCTATATTGTTGTTGCCACTCTTAAAATTCCAACTTGTATTTTAACTCATTCAATTTCCCCATGACATTGCCCACCCACCACACACACACACACACACACACACACACACACACACACACACACACACACATTTCCTTCTAAAATCATGCACTGAATAGGAAAGTAGCAAGGAATCATAGTGATTCAAATGACTTTCGAGGACAACTATTTTTTCTCATAAGTTAAGAAAGTGTTTAAACAAACGTGATACAGATGAAAAGAAAAATCAACATTGAAATGAACTACCTCACTATTGGAAGAGTTTGATTGAATTACATGAGTTGCACACATAAAAGAGTTTAGCAAGGTACTTAGAACATTGCAAGGCTCCGCACTAATCTTTTCTTTCTCTCTTTTTTTTTATTAATTACATTGCATTATGTGACACAGTTTTATAGGCACTAGGATTCCTCCCAACCCTCACTAGCATTAATGTGGAAAGGTGTTATGAAGCACCAAGAGGAAAAAGTTCGGAAGGTTACAGAAGCCTTTATGTGGAGGAAGAAACTTGACATCTTTAAAAGAGCACCAGAAAATTTGTTTCACAAATGTGAAAAATAGGGGATTTTTTGCCTTAAAACTTAGACCCCTAAGGTAGCCATTCATTTAAACAGAATTGTGGGGTTGTTGCAACTGGGGCAATAAAACTGTGTGGCCTTCCCTTGTCACCTGCAAGAGGAACCAGATGAATTTACTTCCAGAACTCAAACCATACTTCCAAGAAGTCAAGCTGGGATGTTTGCTCACATTCTATATGACTATTTGAATAAGCAAAGCAATATTTTACACAGTATAGGAGCAATATACATAGGAACTTAAACAGACACGTTATCTGGATTTTCTTTGATATGAGATGTAAACCGAATGATCACAGGTTCCCACATACTGAGAGCCTTACAATTGGTTCTAGTTTCTCCACTAATGTCAAAGATTGTTTTTAGAGTACGATAAATCTTTTTGGCTCAAACGTACTGGCTCCAAACATTCCTTGGCTTTTTTTGTGCTTAATGAAGTTTTAAAAGTCTATCTTTGTGCAGGGGTGTGTGTGTGTGTGTGTGTGTGTGTGTGTGTGTGTGTGTGTGTGTGTGTGTTAGAACCATGGACAGAGAATGTGATGGTCTAGATGCTAAGAAATGTGCTTAGTCTCTTTTGCAAATAAGGGTCAGAGCTAGAATTTGAGCCCATATCTGCTTACCTTTGATGCACATGCTGCCTATTATGTCCCATTATCTCTTCAACCTGCTAACTTCTCATGCTTACATTACAAATGTGATCTTAATCCGTTTGCCTCAGTTTCCCCATCTGGAAAATAGATATAACAGTAGTACCTGCCTCCCAGGATTGTTAGAATAAGCACTCAGTAAGTATTTTTTACTATGCTGATAGTTTGTCTGAATGACGACATTCCTTTCCAATACTTAGTGTTGTCTTAGAAAAAAAGGAGGATTGGCTACATAGCTAGGTGATGACCAATTTTAACTTCATCGTTCATCCAGTGACATGACCATTATACTAAAGGTTCTTTTAATCTGTTTAACATTTTATTTCTAAGTTTCTCTTTGAACCACTCTTGGAAGAACTTTAACATCTTTATGTAAGAATAACAGTCTCAAACCACCTGAAATAACAAAAGTGGGGATTTTTTAAAGGGGGTCTGTTTGTTCTGGAAAATCATGAAAGAAGTCAGCCAATTCAGGCAGATTACCAGCTTCAAAGCAGTTCAACTTCACCAACTTGGAATCCAAAACAGCCTTCATGGTCAGAATACAAATGTGAATTTAACGAGTAGCCTGACAAGTGCATTATAAAAGCTGTATGTATGAGACAGGAATAAAGAGAGGGCTGAATAAAGAGTGGGAGTCTAGTTAGTGTTGTTAACTTGTTATTCCAACAACCAGTTAATACTTTATGATGTCCAGTCCAGCTCAAATTGTTGCTCCTACTCAGACTCATTTTTTCCCCCTTTTTGAATATGACTTCACCTTCCTTTCCTAAATAGCTGGGAATTGTAAATGACATCCTAAAACCCAGAGCACCAAATAGAGCAGTCTTCAAAAATAGCCCAAACTGGCAAAACTCCAAACTCCTTCAAGGACTGAAGCATCAAAGTCTTTCCTCAAAGGATTGCTTATCATACATGGCATCATCAGATTATATATATTAGTGGAGGGAACCAGTGATCCATATTATCCAAAAATCATTTATTTGATTTTACAATGTATTTGGATATTCATATGTGATCTTAGGTGCCTATGGAGTTGTTAGGACTAGAAACTGAAACAAAATAATGAGGTCACACTGGCACAAAGAACAAGGAAAAGCAGTCCAGTTTCTCCACCTTGAATTCACACACAGTTACACCTGCCTTCAGTTCTAGCAGAAACTGAGACTTCCTCAGCCCAACTAGACCTTTCTGTTTTTTAACTTTCAATTTTTATCAGTTCTATACTCTATTAAGTAAGAGGGAAAACTGTGCTTTGGAGTTGAGAAGCCTTCCTTTCCAGTGCTTATCAAAAGGGCCACATGATACATGAAGTGAGAATGACACATTTTAGCCAATCTTAGGAAGGTCACTGCCCTCTCTAACTTTCCTTTCCTTTCTGTACAATCTGATTCTGCTAAGGGTTAAACAAGATGGTAAGAGAAACATTCAACTAGGGTTTGGTACATATTTAGTTTGTACAAATGACTGTTCCGTTTTGATCCTGAGTTTGAAAGAAGCTCTGACATTGATCACATAGTGGATTCTCAGGGTGGACACCTGGTATACTGTTAAAGAAGCCTCTTAGAATGATGGAATCCCATATCAGAGGGCCTGGGTTCAAGTTTCAAGTTTTGGTCCTGCTCCCAATTGCAATTTCCTGCTCATGTGTACTGTTGGTGGCGGGAGATGTTGGCTCAGGTAGCTGTGTCCCTGCCACCCACATGGGAGACCCAGGGTTTCCAGCTCCTGGCTTCAGTCTGAACAGTCGTATGTTTTATGGACATTTGATGAGCGAACCAACAGGTGGCAGATATCCGCTTGTCCACCTCTTTTTCTCTGTTTCTGAAATAAAATAAGCAATTTTGTTTTTTAAAAAATTCCATGAATAAGTGTTTCAAACATCTTTACAGAAGAAAAACCACCATTGCTTCACGGCTCAAGGACGACCTACCTAAAATGAAATATTCAAGAAATGTAAATTGTCAAAAGGCTGAGAGGAAAACACTGAACATGTGGATGAACACATAACCAGAATACTGCTGATTTTTCTACAAAAATCTCTTCTCAATTGCCCACAACTTACTCCCTTATGCTTTCCACAGGATAGCAAACTGATATCATTACAATTATTTGCTATAGGCAGAAAGAATACTGTGCCACTTTTGCTTTGTGAGGGTTTCATTATGCGGCTGGAGTACTTATTGCTTTGCTTATTTAATGCCTAGGATATAAAAGTCTGCAATATTTGATTCCAATGCCTAAAAATTGTTCAGCCCGGCCCAGAACTCCCTTATAATAGCAATAAAGGATGCTGCATTTTAAAAATACAAATACACACTAACAGTAACTCGGAAGATCCTATGTGGTAATTTTTTTCAGCTGCATGTTCAGACTATTTTGTTATCTGATCCAATAACAAAATATTATGTAGTGATATTATGTAGTGATTGGGCCCGGTACAATAGCCTAGTGGTTAAACCCTTGCCTTGCATGACCCAGGATCCCATATGGTTGCCAATTTGTGTCCTGGATACTCCACTTCCCTTCCAGCTCCCTGCATGTGGCCTGGGAAAGCAGTAGAGGATGGCCCAAAGCCTGGGCACCCTGGAGACCCTTTGTGACTCTACGTCCATGTGGAAGACTAGGAAGAAACTCCTGGCTCCTGATTTTGGCTTGGCTTAGCTCTGGTCTTTGCAGCTACTTGGGGAGTAAACCAGCAGATGGAAGATCTTTCTCTTTATGTCTCCTGCTCTTTGTATATCTGTCATTTCAATAAAGATTTTGTTTTTTTAAAAAAAAGATTACGTTGTGATCATATGCAGTGGTGTTTTGTGTTCTTATCCTTTTCACATATTTTAAAAGCAATTTAGAAATTATTTTATTTTGCCAATGTTACTTAGAGCGGCAAGTTGAGAGAATTTTTCCTCAGATCTTTTGAAACGTATGGTCTGTCTGAAAAATACATAAATTGGCCTTATTTCACCTTTACCACAACATATATTAGGAGCCCAGATATACTTTCTACTCCTGTCACCCTCCTTGTTTTTTTTTTTTCTAGTCCTTACAATAGCATTCCTTCATCTTACTTTGTAATCATAGGTTTAAAATTCCATTAGGTGGGCCCGGTGGCGTGGCCTAGTGGCTAAAGTCCTCGCCCTGAATGCACTGGGATCCCATATGGGCATTGGTTCTAACACCAGCAGCTCCACTTCCCATCCAACTCCCTGCTTGTGGCCTGGGAAAGCAGTCGAGGACAGCCCAAAGCCCTGGGACCCTGCACCCGCATGGGAGACCCGGAAGAAGTTTCTGGATCCTGGCTTCAGATCAGCATAGTATCGGCCCGTTGCGCTCACTTGGGGAGTGAATCATCGGACGGAAGATCTTCCTCTCTGTCTCTCCTCTCTGTATATCCGCCTTTCCAATAAAAAAATAATAAAAATAAATCTTTTTAAAAAAATGATGAATTCTGATACAGGAGCTTTACAACACATAATTTTGGAATCATCAACTTTTACATTTTTTAAAGATTTATTTACTTATTTGAAGGCAAAGTAACAGATACTCAAACAGGAACACACACAGAGGGAGCGAGAAAGACACACACACAAACACACACACAATCCTGCATCTATTTGGTTATGTTTCCTAGTGCTGCAACAACTTGGACTGTGCAAAGCCAAAAGCCAAGAACTCCCTCCAGGTCTCCCATGAACGCTGAAGGAAGTTAGGCAGTTGAGCCATCATCTGATGCCTTCAGACACACTGGCAGGAAGCTGAGTTAGAACCCGAGTATCTGGCCTCAAAAGGTATACTGTAAGGTAGGATGTCGGTATGAATTAAGCCCCTTCTCCACCCCAACAATCATCTCTACTAGTCATTTTAGTGAGAGTGAGCAAGCGAATAACCGAGAAAGAGAGACATCTCCTGCTTGCTGGTTTACCTTCGAAATGCCTTCAAAATGTCCTAGCACTGGGACAGGCCAAAGCCAGGATCCAGGAATTCCATTTATGTCTCCCATGCAGAAGGCGGGGACCCAACCACTTGAACCGTCACCCACTGCCTACCAGGGTGTGTGTAAGTAGGATGGGACATCCAGTGGAGCCCAGAACTGGAACCTGTGCACTCTGATGTGTGATGCAGATGTCTCAAGTGGAGGTTAGGCGCTGACCAGCCCATTCCAATTGACTTGATTAGAGTTGAGCAGGAATTTGGACACTATCATAGATATAAGACTTGTTCAGTCAGTATATTATCTGTTATGAACATTGTATTAAAAATTAAATTGAGCAGTTTTGAGCCTGCTCTACTTAATACTGAGATACCAGGTATGCTGTAAAGGAAGATCGTCTTGCTTTTGTGAATCATTCATTCAAACATTTATTACAATCTTATTAAAGTTTTTTCAGCACTAAACATTTAACAATACACACAAAACCAGATTAGGCTCACCAGGACTTTCAAATCTAGTTAGGAAGCCAAGATATAATTATACACAAGTCAAGTCATACCGCTCAGAATGAACGGTTAAATGTAAAACACAAAGAAATCCGAGGGGGCACCAATAAGGACTGGACAGAAAAGGAGGCTCTTGCAGGAACGCAGGGCAGGGGATGGGGTGGCCAAGCCCGACCTTGGGACCAGGTTAAAAAAAGCCAGGAGCGTGATTACACATTTGAATGATTATACTCTTGCACTGCCAGAAACACATGACATCTCAGCAATGCATATTTTCCCTCAGAGTTCAGAGATACCAACTATAATTAAGCCCATATTTCAAGTTACTGCTCAGTATAAAAGGGGCAGGGCTCTATCAACAGAGTGAGATCTCAAACAGTGCAAATTTTTAATGTGAGAGAGAGAGACAACTCTCACCCGTAATGTTCATAATGAATATTGATCAAAGAATAAGCACAATTAAGGGAGAAAAAAAAACCCCAAACTTGTATAGGACTTTATTTAAAGGAAAAATAAAGAAAATTTGTATTAATTAATTCAAGCTTTGTACTGAAAGTAACAGGAATTGAGGTAAACAGATATGCTTGCCTCCATGACAGAGACCA